TCTCGTCCTGATTCGTCATGCTTAACAAAACTCGTTGCATCGGCAAACAAAAAAAAAACCTTCTGCTAATTTTTGATGTCAGTTCGTAGAGCAACGAGAACGAGAAGAAAAAGTTACTTAAGAAAAAAATAACATACCTGTTGAAATCACTGACCTACCCGCTGTTGAAATAACGAACCACTCATTATTGGAATCACTAACTCACCAACTGTTGAGATTATGAGCTACCCCGCCATTGAAATGAACAACCAATGAAAGAAAACTCAAACAGTGAAGACTTCAACTATTCTAATTGTGATAACTTCAATAACAATAAAATCATAAAAAAAAGGTTGGACCAAAAAAAAAAAAATCAAGTGTAACAAGAAAACAGAAAGAAAAATTCTTACCAAAAAACCATTTCATTTTTGGCGCTTCAAACATCAACTATTCCAACTAGGAAAGCTTCATCCAGAAGGATATTTTGGTAAAGATTCAAGAAAGTGTTAGAATTAATAATAGATTGTCGACAACAACAATGAATAAAAAAAATTAAAAGATAAATAAAATAAATAAAAAGAAAGAAAAATTAAAAGAAAAATATTCACCAAAAGTCCATTCACTTTGTGGCAACAAATCTTTAATTAAAAATATAACTTGTACATCAAGTTATAGTTTTTTCGTCGAGTATCCATTTTACATTCGACCGTTCCAATAAGGATCTGCAAAGAAGAAGTGTTGGTTTCTATTTCAAAGAAAGACCGAAAAAGAAGGATACATATTCAGTTCTTTTCATCCCTAATATAAAAAAAATCTGTTAACAATAATGATCATTAAGTAAATTCATTTATTTTCGTTCTTAGTATGCAAAGCTCCTTTTACAGAATAAGGAAAAATTGTGACTAGTTCCAATAAAGAACTAGTAGGCCTTACTCTAGGAACTACATCAAACTACCGATCATATGTCAGAAACAGACTTTCCTGACAAACACTTCCTTCGGAGTCTTTTCTGAAGCGGCCCTCCCTACCCACTCTTCTTATTGGATCTTCTCCAAAAAGAAAGTATTACCACTACCTTGCTGGTAACAGTAGTAGCAGTGGTAGCAGTTTCTTTTCGAATACGATCGTCCAACTCCAGGAGAACATCCGTCCATGTTTATCCATCCGGTCGGCAAACTGGCATATAAAGAAAGGTAGCCTGAAGGGTTTGCAACTTAAGAACTAATAATAAAAATACTTACTTCATTTTTTCTTCTGGAATCGTAGTTTCTTTCTTGTATTTCTAGTATATAGTATAATGTGTATTGCCATTCCGAATAATCAAAAAATCTACCTTAAAAATTCGCGTCTAGGTTTGTTAGAAGAAATACTTGGTGTGACTGTCAAAGGCCCCACTAAAGAAGGGTAAGTTTTTACATCGTCAAAAAAAGTAACTCCATCGTAATCAATTTCCTAAATTAGAAATTAAACAGTCGTAATATCGAATTTTTTCTGATTGGTCAGTTGTATTTATACA